ACCCTAAGCTCTACACCCTAAACCCCCAAGACCTAAACCCCTAAACCCTCCTTACAGGCCCTTAGAGGCTCTTGAACGGCCCTTAGAGGCCCTTGGAGGCTTTTAGAGGCCCTTAGAGGCCCTTGAACCCTAAACCCTAAACCTTAAAGGCCCTTAAAGGCCCTTAGCTCTAAACCCTAAACCTTCAACCTTGAACCTTAAAGGCCCTTAAAGGCCCTTAGCTCTAAACCCTAAACCTTCAACCTTGAATCTTAAAGGCCCTTAAAGGCCCTTAGCTCTAAACCCTGAACCTTAAACCTTAAATCTTAAAGGCCCTTAAAGGCCCTTAGCTCTAAACCCTGAACCTTCAACCTTAAATCTTAAAGGCCCTTAAAGGCCCTTAGCTCTAAACCCTGAACCTTCAACCTTGAATCTTAAAGGCCCTTAAAGGCCCTTAGCTCTAAACCCTGAACCTTAAACCTTAAATCTTAAAGGCCCTTAACCGTAAACCCCAAACCCTTAAAGGCACTTAAAGGCTAAACCCTAAACCCTAAACCCTAAACCCTTAAAGACCCCTAAACCCAAAACCCTAAACCCTAAAAAGGCCCTTAAACAAAACCCTAAACCCTAAACCCTAAACCCTAAACCCTAAACCCTAAACCCTAAACCGGTGCCAGGGCTTCAGTCCGAATCGGGGGAACGCTTGCGACTGCGAGGCCGAAGTGCTGTGCTTCGTTAGGGTCTAAGCGGTTTAGGGGGGTTTAGGGGTTTAGGGTTTAGGGTTTAGGGTTTAGGGTTTAGGGTTTAGGGTTTGAGGGGTTCGGGGTTTAGGATCTAAGCGGTTTAGGGGGTTTAGGGGGTTTAGGGGGTTTAGGGTTCGGGGGTTTGGGGGTTTGGGGATATTTAGGGTTTGGGGGTGTTGGGGCTTAGGGTTTGGGGGTGTAAGGTTTGGGGGTTTAGGGTTTAGGATCCAGGGTTTGTCGGCTAGAGTTTAGGGGTCTAGGGGTTTAGGGTTTAGGGGTTGAGAGTTTCTTTTTCAGGCATTAGGGATCTGGCTAAGGAGGTGAGTTTCTCTTAAGTTGCGTGAGTAGGGATCTATGGTAGCCAACAGGGTTTAAAGTTTTGGTAGCTGAAATTGAAATCCGGAACAAGGGCCCAGTAAGCTTACGGGTGTAGGGTGTTCAGGGTGTAGAGCTTGGGGGTTTAGGGTTCGGGCTTGAGGGCTAGAGTGTATAGGGTTGTGTTTAAAGGGGGTTCGGGGTGTAATGTGTTTAGGGTTTTGGGCTGAGGGGTATTCGACCTTCGCGCGAATCCTGAGAGATTGTCTTCGGGGCAAAAGGGGACTATGCGGCATTGCAGGGTTGTACAGGTTTATGTAGGGTTCTTATAGGATTTGGCAAGCAAGGTCGGTCTATAGGTCCCCCATGCCCGTCAGTAAAGTTTTTGTTTCCGGCGTCAGGGTGGTCGGAGGATCCCGGATAATCTGCTAAACCCTAAACCCTAAACCCTAAACCCTAAACCCTAAACCCTAAACCCTAAACCCTAAACCCTAAACCCTAAACCCAAACGTCTGGCGTGCTTGCCAGGTTTGAGTGGGTTAACGCGGGCGACTGGACTTGGAGTCCCCCCTCGCTTGGTTTTACTTTTGCTTGAAACAAGAGAAATGGGAGCTTCCGAAAATTAGGGTACCTTATTATGGGGTCCATATATTAAGGATCCTATTATTTAGGGTACTATATTCGGGTCCCCTATTTTCAGAAACCCCCAAATGGATGGCAAAGCAAGCTTGAGCTGCTGCGCCACAGCTTGCGTGAGAGCTGGCGTCATCGTCGCTATCATGGCTGGCTAGACACTGGTAGGCGTGACGCGCTCTGGTGCCACCATGTCAGGTATGATGCGAAGGGGTGTCTTAGCGCTAGAACTGCGGCTGCTCTGAGCCGCCCTTCGCGTGCAGTCTTGTCAGGAGCCTTCGTCTCTCCTGCGGTTTATGGCAGCATGAAGATGAGGCTAAGGCCTGTCCTTTGCGCCATTTCTCGATTTGCACTCTTGAGCATGTTGTTTGGCACTGTCGTGCTCTGCCGGATGTTGCTGATAGACGTAATGTTCCTAGGGATAGGCCTCAGAAGCGCTTCGCTTGGCTCATGGGCCATTCTCGTGAGTGCGGTGATAGCGTGCTTATGTGGCACACGCATGTGAGAAAGCTTCTTCTCAATCGCAGATACACTTAGTGTCTGGTGCTTGCCGCATTTCCTTGTGGTGTAGTCCTGCCTGCCATTTTGGTTTGCCGCTTCCCTTAGGCTTGTTAGGCTAAGCTTGCGTGGCCAGATTGGCCTTCCCTCTGCCTACATCGTCGGCGGTGCGTTCACGGAGTGGGACTACATCGTCTTCAAGACGCTGTATATATGCAGTACATACGTTTGTTGATGTAAGAGGTGTTGAATATCACGCACCTTCGTCCCACCGTTAGAGGCCTTTGGAGAACCTTGGTTTCATACTTCAGGCCCGAACCAGGCCGGTTTGCGTTCTTGCATAAGCTTCAGGGTGCAGGGAAAGTCGCCGAGAGCCCAAGCTTAATCCCTGAACCCCGAGCCTAGCACTCTAAGCCCGACATCCCTTGAGCCCTAAAAACGCCCTAAACCCTAAACCCCAAGCCCTAAACCCTTCTAAAGGCCGTTAAAGGAGCCCCAAGCCCTAAACCCTATGCCCGCCCAGACGTGTTGCACGACCTCCTCCGGATCACCGAGAGCTTGTCTGAAGGCTTGCCGGGGCTTTGCGCATGGGTAGTTCTCTAAATTAGGGTCCCTTTTAGGTCCCCAAAATAGTACGGCACCCGAAGCGCTAAGCCCTAGACCCTTGTAAAAAGGACCGTAGAAGGGATCCCAATTTGCAGACCTACCCACATGTTTGGGGTCCGCCTCCGAAAGAACCAACTAAGAACTAACGCCCTAAACCTTACGAAACATCTGTAAACACCGTGGAAGTTCAATCTCGGAAACCACTAAGACCCCGAAGCACGCACACAACTTATATATATATATATATATATATTTATTTATATGTAGATATCTACCTTATATGTACACACACGGACACATACACACACAGGGTCTTTGCTGGCCAGCAGTAATGGGCATCTGTTACTGAGGCAAGCGCTGCTAGTTTCAACAGTTGGGCTAGCATGCGGTCAGGTTTTTAGTTGCCGTGCCTACAGCCAAACCCTGATGAAATGCCGTATGAGCCTCCAGGTGCAAGCTTCCAGCGTCTGTGGTCGGGTTTCCAAATCCAAAACTCAAAAAACATTCTAAGATCGAACAGAAAATAAGCGTTAGTAAGGATCCCTTGACGGAGAACCCTAACCCAGCAAACAGGCAAGAAGGAACCATTAATCAATAAGGATTTCTGAAAGGTCGTAGCTTAGACAGGAATCCCTTCAGAAACAACCCTCGACACGAGACCCTCAACTCTGATCAACGGGTTGATGAGAGTTTCACAAAACAGTGATGCGGTGCAACTGACGCAGCACATGGACAGTGCTTCGGATGAGAACCCAGTGGAGTTGGACCTGCCGGCGACCCCGTCAACGGTTCCCGGATGTCTACCGACACAGATGCTCCCTTTGACACAGGAGACGTTGCTGGACTCTGTGACCCCACGATCGCAACCATTGGAGACGCCTCCGCGATCGCAAGTGCCGATTGAACCGGAGACTCTGCTGAGCGACGGCATGCTGAATTCAAAAACATGGCAGTCCATAATTATGATTGGTCAATTTTGCTGAGCCCTACTGTGTCCGCCTAAAACCAATCCATTCGTAAATCCTTACAGGAAGCTTACAGGAGAGTACAGAACCGTTGAAACCCCCTATCGAAACCTTCTATATTCTAAAACTCTTATAAGAAACGCGAAACGCAAAAACGTATACCACCCTATCAAACCCTTACAAACCCTGATAAAACCTTGAGGAAAAAGAGCCAATAAAGCTTTACAGCAAGGAGCCCTAAACCCAAACCCTAAACCAGTCAGGCGTCCAGTTCAGGAGGCACGTCCTCCTGGAAGAGGACATGGAGCTGTTGTCGGCAGCTGGGCAGGAAAGTCCCTAAGCTGGTGATATGGGGTGTAGGGTTGAATATGGTTGAATTTCAATTTTAATTAGGATCAAATTCGAATTTCAGCCATGGTTCATCCTGTTGCCGGCTGCCCGCAATGAGGGATTAAATTCGAATTTAATCCTTTGTAGGGTTTAGGCAGACTGCACGGTTTAAATCACGAATACCAGTGCCGAGGTTTTGGAGGCAGGACGAGACAACCGCTAGCTGTGGCTGAAATTCGGTTTAAAGCCAGCCGACCCAAAGGACTCTGGAAAGGCCCCTTGCCCCAAACATCGAGTTAAATTCGAATTTTAGCCGCCAGGCTGGCCTGACCCAGCCCCCGCTTCAGAACGGATTAAATTTGAATTTAATCCTTTTTACTAATGGAAAATCATCCTCATCCATGTCCGGTTTAGGGTTCCCTAAGATGGTTCCGGAACGGTTCTGTGCGATTGGTTTCTGGGAGGTTCTATGAGGGTTACAGAAGGCTTCTGCAAGGATTCAAGGAAGGGTTGCATAAAGTTTTTGTATGTTTTTATATTACACGGGTCCTTCCCAAGGTTCTATACGGCCCTCAAACCTAAACTTTTGAAACATACCCTTGAAGAAACCCTAGCCCTGAACTCTTAAAGCACCCCTGAAGAAACCCTAAACCTGAAACCCTAAACGCTTAAAGTATCCTTAGAGAAACCCCAAACTTCAAGCTCAAAACGTACGCGTAAAGAAGCCCTACACCCTAAACCCTAAACCCTAAACCCTAAACCCTAAACCCTACACTTTTATACTGCTCTTAAAGCAGCCCTGCGGTCTTAATCGTTTTTAGCGAGGCAAAACTCGAAGACCGGCAGCCTGTGACGACGGCGTCCCCCCAGGCATTGCTTCGAGTTTCCGGTGGTAGTTAGGGTCTAGGGTTGTAGGGTTTAGGGTTTTAGGGCTTAGGGTTTTAGGGCTCAGGGTTTTCAGTGCTTTTAGGGTTTAGGGCTCTAGGGCTTCGGGTCTTGAGGGCTGTTAGGGCTTAGGGCTTTAGGACTTTACGGTTGTAGGCGTAGGGCTTTAGGGTTCAGGGTTTAAGGGTTAGGGCTTTAGGGTTCAGGGTTTTAGGTTTAGGGTTTTAGGGTTTGTGGTTTAGGGTTGTAGGGTTGAGGTTTTAGGTTTAAGGATTTTGGGGTGTAGGGTTTAGGTTCTAGTATAGAAGTCTGAACAATGACGAGTACTACTATTCATTGGGGTTCCTTGTTATAAACATGAAGATAAGTAAATACCTGATGCAAAATATATATATATATATATATACACACATACATATATCATTAGTGCTTAAAGACAGCAAAAGCTGTTCTAAATGTTAGGGATTCTAGGTCCTGGTTCATAAGGATGCATACCCCGGATCTTCTGCACTTTCAGAGATTATGTTGAGGGTCTTGTCCATGAATTCCCCTATTGGTGGTGTTGCATTGATGTGGGAGACCAGTATCGACCTTAAGCAGAAGTTTGATCCGGATCTAGGCACCTAGACTGTTAAATTTTTGACGAGCTATTCTTGAACAAACCCAAAACCCTAAAACCTAAAACAACACCGCAAATTCCTGCAAAAACCCTATCAGAAGCCCCATGTAGGCCTGTTGCCCTCGGAAGGCTTTAGGCTTCCCTTGGCCTGGGGCCTTGACCGACTTTGGGGGCTGGGGCTAGGATGCAGGTGAGCTCTTCTAGTCTTCCCGGTTTAGGTTTTAGGGTTTAGGGTTTAGGGTTTAGGGTTTAGGGTTTGGGGTTTAGGGTTTAGGGTTCGGGTTTGTGGGTTTCGGGTTTGGGAGACAGCCGCAACAGAAGCCAAGTCTTGTGAATCTTGTATCCCTCACCCTGAACCCTGAACTCCAAATGCTTTGCTTCAAAGTCTTGCATGGTTGAAAAAAGGAATGTTGGATTCCTCAGAAAGACTTCAGCCAGTATAGGATGAGTAGGTTGAGCTTTCACATGCACATGTTCCCCCAGAATCAGCACCCAAACCGCTTCCAAACGCTAATCTAGGGGCCTAAACACATACTATACTACTTAGGGGGTTCCTGATTATTACCATAGTATAGGCCCCAAAACCCTGTTCTAATTATTGAGGCCCCTCAAGATCAGATTGAAAAACCAACCCTTTCCGCAAAGTCGCAAAAGGTTACAGTGCTTCGTTTGGCTGCGGCGGGTGATGTGGCTGAGCTGGAACAGGCCCCAGAAGCCTGTAAACCGGTAGTTCATCCTCTAGGGGTTCTATAGCGGTCCTTTAAGGGATCCATTTTGGCCCCTTTAAGCGTACAGATCCTATTTTCGGGTTAAGGCTTCAGGGATCGGATTAGGGATTAGGCTTTAAGGATCTAAGGGTTTAGGAAGTAGGGTGTAGGCTTTAGGGTTTAGGGTTTCTGAGTTTAGGGCTTGGCAGTGTAGCTATAGTACTTGCGGCGGTATTTTTGGCCCTGTGTAAATCCTAATCCCTCAACAGGATCGAGGCCAGAAGTTATGTGAGCAGCAAGGTGTGCGTCAAGGCCTGCAAACTGCAGCAATAGAGAAGCGCAAATATTTGCCAATATGCTTCCTTGGGCTTCCTTCTTATAGTTATCATAGGTTACACACCAAAACCCTGTTCTAATTTTCCAGGACCCTAAATCATGCTCACAGCATTTATAGAGGAAGCAAGCAGGGGCGAGGCCAGCCGCCAAGCGCCACAATGCAGATGGACCCTAAGCCAGTAGAGTCAGTGGCTAGAACCCTAAACCCTCAACCCCTAACCTTGCACCTGCTCTCAATCAGGCCCCGATCCCTCAAGCAAAACGCAGCTTTTCCGATCGACTGTGGCCCACCTCTCGAGGCGCTGGAGGATATGGACGGGCGTCGGTCTCGGTGGTTCAGGGTTAAGTTTAGGGGTTTCGGGCTTAGGTTCAGGGTTAAGTTTAGGGGTTTCGGGTTTAGGTTCAGGGTTAAGGGTTAAGTTTAGGGGTTTCGGGTTTAGGTTCAGGGTTAAGGGTGAAGTTGACATTTTGGAGTTCAGTAAGTCGCTTCTTACAGCTTGGCTTGGTCAACATACAGGCATACATACCTAATTGCGTTTACATATGTGCACACGTGTGTCATACATACACGCGTATATGCATATGCATACACATATGTCATCGCATTGTGCTAGGCAGCAGCCCGGGACGTTTCTTTGCTTGAATTGAAGCCCTTGAAATCCAGGCTCAACAGACTGGTTGCCGAGGCACGAAATCGCAGGCGTAAGCCCCAGACAACATCTTGGAGCTCGGTATTTAGAGTTTTGGGGTTGAGTTTGGGTTCAAATTCTAGGCTGGCCGCACCCAAAACATCGCGTCTCATGATCGGCTGTGCCGAGGGCCAGTGTCAACGGAAGCAGCTGCCGCGGGAAGACCCCGCTGATGTGGTTGGGATTGAATGGACAGTTGGGGCCTGGGTTTCGGCTAAGATTGAGAATTTCGTAGTCTCGACAGAGCATCTTTGCAGCAGGATTCCAACAGTACTAGCGTGGCCACATCCAGATGAGTTTAGGGGTCAGATTATGAAGACGCAGATTTCGGGTTTAGGCCTGCGGTAGCGGTAAATTTGGAAATTCTAAACCCCAATATAAAGGTCTGAATAATTGGTATCTGTTGCGGCCCCTACTATGTGACCGTCGGCTCTCCTTGGAGAAGATTGTATTCTCAGCGTGCCGAACGCCAAACCGCTAGACCCAGTAAACCTGGAACTGCACAGCTCTCAATCAAGTCGTATGTCCTGCCTCCATCACATCTTACAACTCTGCGAAACCCTAAGCCCTAAACCCTAAACCAAAACTCCTAAACCCTAAACCCTACATACCAAACCCTAAACCCTAAACCAAAAATCCTAAACCCTAAACCCTGACCCCTAACCCCTAAATAGCAAACCCTAAACCCTAAACCAAAATGCTAAACCCTAAACCCTGAACCCCAAACCCTAAATAGCAAACCCTAAACCCTGAACCAAAATTCTAAGCCCTAAACCCTGAACCCTAAACCCTAAATACCCAACCCTAAACCCTGAACTTTTAAGGGATCACTATAAGGGCTCCTTTAAGGGATCCCTTTAAGGGATCACTATAAGGGCTCCTTTAAGGGCGCCTTGAACCCTCAGTCGCGGCAAGGTATGCGGCATCCTCTGGTCGCGCAGAGGCAGATCCTCCGATGAAGCCCCAGATTGGGAGTTTCCAAAAACGGTTTAGGGTTTAGGGTTTAGGGTACCTTATTTTGGGGTCCTTATAATCAGGGTCCTACTATTTAGGGTACTATATTCGGGTCCCCTATTTTCGGAAACTCCCAGATCGACTCAGATCTTCGGCCTTTGGGTTTAGGGTTCTGGGTTTGGGGGGTTTAGGGTTCTGGGTTTTGGGGGTTTAGGGTTCTGGGTTTTGGGGTTTAGGGTTCTGGGTTTTGGGGTTTAGGGTTTTGGGGCTTAGGGTTCTGGGTTTTGGGGTTTAGGGTTCTGGGTTTTGGGGGTTTAGGGTTCCGGGTTTTGGGGTTTAGGGTTCTGGGTTTGGGGGTTTAGGGTTCCGGGTTTTGGGGTTTAGGGTTCGCCCAAAAAACAACCCGAGACCCTGAATCCTGAACCCCTAAACCCCAAACCCACAGCCCGAAACCCTACCCTAAACCCTAGACCACACCCCAAACCGTATTCTAATCCTAAAATCCTAAAGTCCCCTCTATGACAAACGTTTCCAGGGCCTCGGTTCGAAGGCCCTGAAGCGTGTGAGGGTTTAGGGTTTAGGGGGGTTTAGGAGGGGTTCAGGGGGGTTTAGGGTTTGGGGGTTTGGGGGTGTAGGGTTTAGGGCCACTTTAGGGTTTAGGGGTTTAGGGGTTTAGGGTTTAGGGTTGAACGGGTTTAGAGCCTCTTTAAACAAAGAGGTTGCCGTGTTTGGGGGGGGGGGGGGGGGTTCTTTTATAGGACCTCCCTGTTTTCGGAAACTCCCATGTAAGCAACCTTATGCACTCCACTCTCGACGCTCAGCTCGAAATCCTACGCCCTGTACGAACCGAGCCTGCAGAAGCTGTACATTCAGTAGTAGAATATACGGCAGAGCCCTCTTCTAACCATAAAGGGCCCCCCCTAAACCCTAAACCCTAAACCCTAAACCCTAACAGGCAGTCGCCTCCCTTCTTAGCCGCCGCGCCAGCGTCGGTGCCGTCGATGTTTTCGGACGCGGGGCGATGCACTTCGCGGCAGCAAGGCAGGCCGTTTTAGCCTTTTCTGACCATCCTTCCATGAGAGATGCGAGTTCAGAAAATAGGTTAGGGTTTAGGGTTTAGGGTTTCGGGTTTAGGGCTTTAGGGTTTGGGAGTTCAGAAAATAGGGTAGAAAGATCTTTATTATGAGGACCCCTAATATAGCGTTCCCTGGTGGTGTGAAGCTCCCAGGTAGTGGTGAAGATTGAACTACGGGTTTAGGGTTGATCAAGCGTTCAGTATACAATTATATGAATTATTAGTATCATCCTCTAGGGGCTCTTGTGACGTGTAACCCCAAACCCTAGCTCCGAGATTAGGACTTAGGGTTCAGTAGTCCTGCTTGAGGGTTCAGGGGAGCTGATAAAAAAAGGCAGGGTTGTAGTAACCACATACTTAGTGGTGAGGGGTGTTGATCTGAGGTTGGTTGAAGTATGTAGCATCACAGATTTGCCTATGACGTTTATGAGCACTAGCAGGGGTTGTGGTGTCGCCCGAGTGCAAGCAAGATCGCCTCACGGAAGAAGGTCAGAACAAACAGTTTTTCAGGTAATGTAAGGGCCTTGATATCTAGAATAGGGTTTTGAGGGTTCCTTTTATAGTTATACTATAAACGAGCCCAAAACCCTATTCTAATTATTAAGGCCCCTATATTGCTCTCGCTATGTACATTGCTAGATTGACTAGAAGCCTTCAGGGCCGGAGGCTCTCCCGCCAAGGGAAGCCGACCAGAAAGGGGATGCTAGGGGTCAGTCAGTGTTTAGGATCTTTGGTCAGTTTTTAGGGTGTTTCGGGCAGTTTAGGGTTTAGGGATTTTGAGGAAAAGGGTCCAGCGCCTCGAGCCACCCTCCTCCCTAACCCAAAGGCCTAAACCCGAAACCTATACCCGGAAACCCTAGCCTAAACCCCCTGAGCCCCACAAAAAACCCGCCATTGAGACTCCTGAAATCTAGAATTCCCTGACCGCACGACTCGTAGTTCTACATCGGAATCATTGGAAATAGTGTCCCACTAAAGCCCTCATGTTTATTCCTCAACAACCCAATGCTTCCTTTCGGGTCGTGCGATGGTTTCAAGCCCCATCATGTTTTGTCTGGGCCGTACGCGCGTCACTAGTTGCTACGGTCCTGCTCCTCAGGCTCGGTGCCAGCGATGCGGAACAGGCTCTACGGCAACAATGTGCCTAACTGTGCATGGGTTCTTGTAGGCAGCATTCTGTGCTTTCCTGCATTGTCGTTGCGTGGTCAGCTGTTTGTCCGTCCGTCCGCCTGTCCGTCTGTCCGTCGCTCCGTCGGTCCGTCCGTCCGGTCTGTCCGTCCATCGCTCTGTCTCCGTCTCCGTCTTTGTCTCTGTCTCCGTGTCTGTCGCTGTCTCTGTCTCTCTCTCTCTCTCTCTCTCTCTCTCTCTCTGTCTCTTGTATATCCAAGGGTGTATGTGAATGTACACGTATATATATATATAT